GCCAACGGAGCCGGCGGAACGATCCGGACGGGACCGAAACCATGTGTACCGCCAGCGCTAACGCTGGTGGTACAATAAATTCAGCATGTCAGGTACTGAAACAGACAAGGTTTAAGGAGTGGAAATTCCATCAATTCCTTTACTTCCAGGGGGGAAAACCCACATCTCTTACTATATCCATCTAACACACACACACACACACACACACAAAATAAAAAATAAATAAATAAATAAATAAATAAAAAAATCCATCTATCTCTGCATCTACTTACCCACACATCTTTTGGAATCTGAAACATATCTGAAAATGGCACATCTTCATTGTTTCCATAGTCCACAAATGTGACTCGACTGATCTGACTCTGTAGATTCACACCTATTACGACAGCTTTGTACCACTGAAATAAATAACAGGATGGAATACTGTATGATGGAATAACAGCTATAATTTGTAATGGCAATGATTCTACAGAAGACAACAATTCACAACTGGGTGAAACCAGTTTTAATAGACTTGTATTAATGAGAGGTCATTTACATTAAAAAATGATACTGTCACAGATCTTCATTAAAAAAATTACAGCTAGATGCAGTGGAATAATTTGTTTGAGCTGCGATTCATACTCTGAGCTGCTCACTACAGCATCATTTAAAGATATAACAATTAATTTCCTTTACTTAAAAGTGCAGAAATGCCATATGTATGTTGTGTATAAAAGTATATACATTACTGATTTTAATTTCTAGTTCATCTCACCTGTTGGTCTTCCCAAAATTTGGCTATGCAAACATCACCTTCATTCCACTGCTGTGCTTCTGCAGAGTTCATCTACAATTGAATGAAAGAAATTGCAAATACTTTGAAACTTAAGCAGCATGATATTTCATTAGCATGTAAGTGTATCTAAACAAATTGCTGCGCAATTACTACAAGGGTAACAGAAACAAAAATCCTTTTTTGAAGTATAAAGAGACATGGATTAAGTTGAAATCATAACTACTCATTTCCCTCCCAATTAATAGCATGCTGAAATTTTCTTCAAAATTTACGAGTACATTAATTTTAAGTTTTTTGGTCCACTAACAAATAGACCACCAACACATAAAAACCAGATTTCTTTCCTTGGCAGAGTGAGAATTTTCATGTTACCTGTGGCTGTTGTGGTTGTTGTGCAGGGAACACGATCTGTCCCTGCTGGTTGACCTGGGCCACCTGGAATGCTGCTGCTGCCATCTGGCCCTGCTGGGTCTGAGCAGGATGATAATATGGCTGCTGGGTTGCCGCAAACGTCTGGAACGTCTGCCCATTTTGTGTCTGATAGATTGCTGGTCCAGGGATGAACGTCTGCTGGCCATATGACTGTGGAGTTTGAGCCTGCATTTGTTGCTGCTGGGGTTGCTGTTGTTGTTGTTCATGCTGATGCTGTTGATGCTGTCCGTCCTGTTGTACAAGTTGCTGTTGAAGGAGATACTGATCTTGTTGCTGCTGCTGTTGCTGTCTGTTTTTCCGATTCCCTTTTTGTGACCGGTTTCCCGCGCCTCCGTCTTGTTGGTAGTTTTCCATATATTGCATCTGGCCTTGTTGATGTCCCTGGGGGCCACCACCCCCACCCCGGTTGCGGTACTGAGAGCTTCCGTGCAGCTTGTTGGGGTCTTGCTGCTGATATTGATTGGGGGGAGCCTGCTGGTGCTCAGGAGGCACATACTGATCCGTTTTAGGATCATATAACTGTTTTTGTTTCACTGGGCCCCTAGAGGTCCCTGACCCATGCCTCCCGCCTCGGTATTCATCACCCCCTCGACCGTAATCCCCGCCATATCCTCTTCCCCCACCTCGCCCACGCCCTCCTTGGTAATAATGATCATTTCTCCTATTACTATTATAATAACCACCATTTTGCTGATTGGCATTCCAGTTTCCAGCTGACTCGTTATGATGATAGCCATCATAATTTTGATAACCATAGTCTTTTCTGTTTTGATTCCACTCGTTATGGTAGGACCCATTCTGGTAGTCATTTTTCAACCTTCGGGAGTCCTGATTCTGAGATCGTTGTGACGGCCTTTCCCCTCCGCCCCCTCCTCGCTGGGCAGCTTGCCCCTTATAACTGCTGGAGGCCTGGTAACTCTCCCTGGGTGTGGGGCCGCTGTACTGGCCCACACGGGGATCAGCAGCTTTCTGCTCATTCAGCAATTTATTCTGTAACCTGGGAGGTAAGTTTTTTATTCTGTCCTGCTTCTGGGCAGCAGTAGGCGGGGGAGGTTTGTTACTGGCCTGGTTGTCCCCTCCTCCTTCTTTTGTGGGTTTGTCGTCTTTCTCTTTAGCATCTGGAATATCATTTTGAATGCATTTTAATCAACTCTTCTAAATTATTTATCTGGCCTACATCACAAGCTGATGAATACATTCAGAAGAGTCATTTACACATTCACAGACTTATAAAAATAAAAATTAAGAAGAATTCACTGCACCAAGTTTCCTTTCCAGAAATCTGGTAAAATCAAAACATTCATTCTTCTCTCTTGAATTCAAAGAAAAAATGAGGTCTGGGCAAGCAATCCAGAAAATAATCTCACCTTCTTTTATTGGCCCAGCTTTGTTTAGAATAAAGTCGAATAGCGTGGCAGGTGCTGATGGACGGGAAGATCCTTGCTCAAACTCCTCTTCTTTACCACGGCCTCGGCCCCGTCCAACTAAAATTTAAGTTATTGTCAGATTAATAACTTTTTGTAGCTATCCCCAATATGTATAAAAGAGCACTAATGAGAATTCTTCCCAGTCACTTATTCTTCTGTTGTATTTTAACAGTTTAAAAATCTATGAGAGATATTATTGTTTATCAAATGTGACAAAATGAACTACTGAACTCGTTTGTAAATACTTTATGATTCAACCTGTGCTAGACTATACGGCATAACATACTCTGATGCATATAAAAAATGTCATCAAAACGTGGATATACAATGTACAAACTAATCACTGCCATAACAACCCACCTCCTCTGTCCTCTCGCCCCCCTCTGCCAAACCCTCCCCTGCCCCCTCTACCACCCCCTCTGTAGCCAGACCCAGGACTGATGACTAGGGAGGCTATAGCTTCTTCAAGGTTACTGTTTGTCTGGCGCAGGGCATTGGTAGCCTGGTCTGGCGTGAAGCCCATTTCTACAATCTTCGCTATGTCTTTGTCTTGAATCTGAATCGGACAAAGTAACACCAGGTACGTGTTGTTGCATTTAAATGACAGAAAAGGAAATTAGTCCAATTGTAATCTTGGCGACAGAGAGATCCTTCTTTTTAATTATTTTTTCAAAATTAAATTAAACTAATGAAAATAGGTTAGTTTAATCTAAAGTTTTTGTTCTTATGAATACTTAATTATCTATATCCCTTTCTCTCAGTTAAAACAAGAAACAATTTAAATGATCCCATAATGCAAACGAATGTCATCAAACTCACCTGTTTCCCTCCAAATGTTTTCCCCTTTCCATCTTCTTTAGCCTGAATGGCTTCTGCCAAAGCTGCTTGTCGCTGCTGTTCAAACTCTCCATCCCCTTCCTTCTTTTCTTCTTTACTGGATTCTAAAGACTTAAATGTTTCTGGAAAGCAATAACACTTACTTTATTGGAAATCTGACTTGGTTATTATAGGAGTCTGTATAGATCCTGCTTTAAGCTACTGAACAACTTAACACATATAACCTCCATTATTCTTCATAAGAATATTCTATCAAAACAACTCCATTCCCTTTCATCATAGTCCCCAACAAACCTCTTGATCTAGGTCCATTCTGTGTTGTGTCATGTAATTTGTGACCGAATGGCACGAAAGCAGGCGGTCCATCCTCTCCCCCTCCTCTCCTGCGAGACTGGACTGCAAGAGACTGAAAACAAGAACAATTCACAGTAAAAATCATTGAAAAAATGGAATAACACCAACTTTTTCAGAGCCAATGTCTTCTTTTATACAAAATTCAAACATAAGTCTGCCAGTCCCAAAGAGACATTTATAACTTTTTTTAAAGATCCAGTTTGTCTAAAAGTCTTTAAAAGAGATGATCTAACCTTTTTAAGTTCCCAGTTTTCTACCAGCCTCTCCACGCGTCCCCCCAGGCACTTAATATTACTGTTTGTCAGCTGAAGAAAGCCACTGTTAATGGTCAGCTTGCCAGTCAGTTTTACTTTGGTTCCAGGAGGAGTATTAAGGCTAAAATAAGAAACATCTTTCATATTCTTCTGCTGTATATTATTAGGAACTAAAGACAATTACAAAGAAGGCAACATGCCATTGTGTGATGTAAGAATTATCTTTTAATAAATTAGTGGTCTTTGGTGCACATAATTTAAAAGGAAAGGTTGACATGACCTAGAAACAAACATAATGCTTTGCAGAACCTTTGGAGCTGATGTATTTTTTTTAAACTAAATTTTGTAATTTAAACATAAAACACTTCAAAATGGCAACATTAACCTACTATATATGTATTGCATCACCATCAGGGGGCATTAATGGTCGTATCTATGACAAACCTTATATCTTTAAGAGTTTCCACTTCAAGTCCATTACACATGGCACAGCCATCTGTGAATGTGATCTTCAGCATACGTGGCGCTACGTTTGATTCTTCGTTGTCTTTAGGAGCAGTAACGTTTCTTATTTTATGGACTTGTAACACAATTGGACCATCCCACTGAAATGAAAAAAAAAAATGCATATAAAACACATACCACACAACTGTCAAATACTTGAGTTAAGGAAGACCACAACTATTTACATAAACCAGGACAAACATTCCTTTTTTCCATTGTCAGAGAGCAAGAATAATTCTCCTCAGAGTAGTAATATCTGAATAGGTTGCCTAAGCAAAAATGAACTCTGTCGGCACTATACCTGCTATGTAGTTCTAGCCTACTTTCTATTATCACTGCACCACTCTGAAGTTTTGTGTATGATTGCAAAAAGTCATCATATATATCAGTGATTGATCACTTTATGCCATTACCAAAAAGATTATATCATATTTCAAAATAGGCAAGTATGTGTACATGTTACACATGTACACCCAAGTACATCAAAATGTGGCTACTGCTTCAAACATCAGCAATATTTCGAACATGTGTTATGCTGATGGCTGTGTGGATTGACAATTCTTTTCTATGTACCTGTATAGCTCCAGCAATGTTCTTATTTTGTAATGATATACACCTGTAGGTTTAGAATTAAGTAGAAGCTTCCTGTTTAAATACTTTTAACATAAAAAAAATCCATTTGAATGCAGTTACTGTTTAACAGTAGGCTAAAAATCCTATTCCATCCCATATCACAACCAAATGCTTATAATCAGTGCCAAATGTTTCAATTATCCACGATTCATTGTGTAACACCCTTAATTCCAGGTAATGAGTAAGTTGTACTGAGAAGGGGTGGCAGTGAGACAGAGTGGCCAAGGTGGATGGTGTCAAGATGTTGCAAGTGAGAGATCGGTGCCAAGCCCCCCCCCCCATTATAAAATCACAACATTCTATATAATGGTTAAATAACTTTAAATAATTTTGCTGTTCATTAGTTCTCTATGTTAACTGACAAGTCTGATTTTCATACTAATTAACGACTGTATAAACATGTTGCTCGCTTACCAGCATAAACTTACATAAGGCTTATTTGACACAACAATAGTAACATGAATTTTGCATAAAAACACAATGAAACTACTATGTGAAATAAATAGATTTTGGTTTAAAGGGATAATAACTCTTCATTTCGGTCAAAAAATGAATTTTCCTGGAGCAAACAACAATTTTCCCATACTTACCAATGGTTAATGAATCCATTTTTACATTCAAAGTTAGTCCCTGTTTTTTTTTAAAAAGTTTGGTTTTTTGTTAAAATCTCTTAAGAGATTTTAACAGAGTATAGCCATCAATGGAGGTCACGTGGTCTAAAGACAAGCTCAGATATCAGAATAATATCTATAACTGCCGTTTCTGTGATAAAACAGAATATAATATATTTCTATGAGTTATTCACAATGTTTTTATTGTGAAATATAGATCTCATACGAAGAGTTATTATCCCTTCAATCTTATTCTCTACACACCGACTGTAGTTTCCCTCTATTGATTTCTTCAGGAATAACTTTCTGGCCAATCTGTTTCATATCAGTCTGCAATAAGATGAAAGCTAGCATTATTTTCTATGAGATGCTAAACTATTACAAAATAGGTTAAAACAAGCGTTATGCAAATAAATAAATAAATAAATAAATAAATAAATAAATAAATAACATACTTATTTACATCTTTTTTATGTGACAAATAAATCAGTACATTGAATAATCAGCAAAGTTTATAATCTTATATTTGTGGATTTGAGGTTTAAATAATATATGACATAGATTACAAACATAATATTGACCAATGTTATTTTCACTTATTTTCTGAGCAATCAGAAAAAAAGGAAACAAATTATCAATTAGACAACAGTGTTGAATATTGGCATTGTTGCAACTATTGATGTTATCTTAGAGGTCATTGACATTAATCAATAAAGTAACAAATTATACAACAAAACAATTGTAAATTATAAATATACTTTTGCTTTCAGTCAACATATTATCTGCAATTCCAACTGTATAATAAAGCAATAAGAAAATGAGAATGATAATATATTGTTCAACTCTGCTGCACTCTTGAGAAGATTAAGTCTTTTGGAAACATTGTAAGATATAAGCCACGGTATACACAGTCCTATACCATTAAACTACTTACATCCATTGCAATTTTGATGATATCATCAGCACCACTCCTTCCATCCTCTGTGCATTCCTCTATACCTTCTGGTGACAAATACCTACAAAGATTCAACACAGTTATTTTCAAGTAGTTGCATTTTTTAAGAAAAGGAACGAATGCATATATCCTCTACTATATATGTACACATGTCAAGACTGAAGACAAGCATGCTTTCCTTGTCTTTCATGAGTGAACTACAATTCAAATACAAGCTACATTTCAATTACTACAATTTGACAGACACTAATATTAGTGCCATGCAAGGATTTAAACATTCGCTGAATGGGCTGTAAGGAGCGCAAAAGAAAAAGATGGAAGAGATGCAACTCTGCATATGCTAAACATTTGCTTCAAAGGCAAAGTTGACTCATAGGCACCTTTGTGCCCAGCATCAAGTGACAAATGTTGGACATGGCAAGCTGCATTTAACTAAATTATATATTTACCCAAGGTGGAAACTGTTGAGAAAAGCATTTGCTTGTGTTTATCCATTTCATTGAGAGGCTAATAAACCACAAATCATCAGAATGATGAAATTATATAAATGCATGACGCAGAGACTGTTGCTTCCAAACAACCTTGATCTAGATTTGGGAACATAATCAGCTGACCCAAATGACAAGTTGACAGACTAATTCGCATTAAAATTTTACCGAGTCAAGTGGGCTTTTTCATTTATCTTCGTCATATTTCTAACAAACAGGCTCAGAGTATTGCAGTTAGGGCATAGAGGATTGATGTGGGGTTTATAATATTAGTCAAACTTAAAGTAGGAAATGTGAAAGAAGAATAATGACATGCCAACGGTGACGGGGATCTGTGACAGTCACACCGCTACTTAAGTGTGAATTCTCCATGAAAATTACATTGTGTGTCTCAATTCTTTCCAGATACAATCTCTATAGCAAACCTAAACTGCTACTAAATTTTATCAGAAAATAATGCATACGATCAATTAATTCAATGGCATTTTGATACCCACCAACCACGCTTCTTCAACTCAGCATCCGCCATGATGGAGAAATTGTTACAAAGGTTTTGATTGGCTTCTGAAATTAAAACACCGAGAACTTTGCTTAAAATTTATTTTTTATGTCAGTATCATAGCAAGCAGGCGCATTAATTGGGTTCATATTGCTTAGTGCTTTGCTTACAGCAATCTTTTACTTTAATTGATCCAAAAGAAAAGAACAAACAGCATATTTCTTTCTGCATGTGACAGGAAGTTGAGGATATGTTAAAACTTTTCTGATTGGCTAGATTATTTTGGGTGTAAAATCAAACATGGCGGAATACTGGAAGTTCGAAGCGGACGTTTACACAAATTTGAACTTTTCTTGTGTTTGGGTATGATTTTATGGAAGACACATATTGTGACCCTCGAGACTGTAAAATTATTTTGTACAGTTGAATATATTTTGAGATCAGCGAGCGGGAAAAGTAAGATTGCCGACCACACCTGCTGATCATTGAAAAATAACAGTCGCCTGCAGTGGCACTGTCTTAGACAAAACTACTGTTGAAATATCAACAATAAGGTCTAGTTCACATTGACAAGATGGATTATAGAAAAGACAGAGAGAAGCGGAGTAGCTTTGTAAGTATATTATCAAATACGTTTGAAAACACACTTTATTTTTTTACGAAAGATCTAACGCTGCTTTATTTTTGAATGAAATAAACAGAGTGCGACCGATTCTAGTTCTGGGCGATGAGTCATAAAAGTAACTTTCTGTCATTGACCCAATTTTTGTCTCTTTCTCATGCACACACATGCATACACAACACGTGCACACAAAATGTATCTTTACTCTGGTGCTTATCATCTTTGACAATTTAGCCATTGGCAATAAATTGAACTTAAGTTTACCAGGGCCCCGTATCTCGAAAGCATCGGGCATTGCAGGGCCCAGGACTATTAAAGTGAGATGGTCAGTTATTGTTCTAAGTCATAAAAATGAATGCTTAAGAAAGAAAATATTACTTTGTTTTTGAACAAATGTTTACAGATTGGACATCAGCATTTCAGTTTGATTATTCAGAAGTACTTGACCACATTTTCAGATATTAATAAAATGTTTGTGTGTGTGTGTGGGGGGGGGGGGGGGTGTTGAACAAAATATAATTGATATTAGATTTCTGGTTATAGCATTTATTGTAGGAGGAGGTCAGATCACTTTGAATTAAAAGATATTGATAAAATTAATTTCCTGTAGTTAGTTAAAGTGAATAATACTTAATTTGTAAGGAATGATTGTTAGCATAATTAATCTTAAGATGTGATGAAGTCGGTTTATAGCATAGACATCATTAATTTTCACACGTAAATTATTTCAGGAAGGTTGGGTTCATTTATTTCATTATTTGAGTAAATGTCATTGATGCAAAAATGTCTATCACTGTGAACATGTGTGAACTGTTTTACAGTTTGATATGGGTAAAACGGCAGCAATGGTAAGTGCGAGGGCATGGTATCTCAACTTTACTACTAGTATTGTGCTTATTGGTGTTGTTGCCTCTTGTAGTAAATGTATCAGTGTACTAAACATGCTTATTTTTCAGAATGTTTACCTTATATCCAGCAGCAATTTTTGTACCTCTTTGTGACCTCACCTTATTGAGTATGCAGTATATGATGTGTTTACACTTGGCCAAAAATTCTGGTTTGATCCTGGTTCTCTGCTAATTTTGGTTCTCAGCCATTGTTTATTAAGATACAAACCAAGAAGGATATTATAAATACTTCTGTTTGCTTTTCCTGCTCTCAAAATTAGTAATGTATTAAGTCAGTCAATTTATTCTTTTAATTCACAAATGGAGCTGCTCTTGGTTCGCAACAGGATTGTACCAGTAAGCCAAATGTAAATGCATATTAGTACTAGTTTGTCCACTTTCATAAATCACTGTGGCTTAGTTCCAGTTGATATGTAAATGTATGTAATCCTCAGTAGGCATGTGTGACGATAGGTGACATCCTTGTTTGTATTCAGCTCTGTCAAAACTGACATGGTATATTTTAGGATCCATAAAAATCACAGTTTGCAGATTCATTGCTTGTAAAAAAAAAAGATTTTGCTGCCAAAAGCATAAGCCGTGTTCAGACCTATTTTAACAAATATTGTTTTAGTCCTAATTTTAAAACCTGACACTTGAATTGGTTGCAATTTCCTTCCTTATGCACTTCCTCCTTGATTTTGTCTGATGCTCATTTTGCTGACTGGCAAACTAAGGGAACGATAGAGTGATTGCAAACTGAGGAAGGGTATAGGATGCAATGAATCTGCTTCCTGTAGTGAGAGCTTTTAAAAAACTGATTTGAGTATAGTTGTTGTCTATAATCCTCTCCTGAATGTGCACAGATGTTTTTCAGTGCTGGATTTTCCTACAGAGATTTTAGTAAATGTTCATAATGCAGCATGTATTGTTTTGAAATCTAGATTTTCTGTGTTGCTTGAATCCAAGTTTGTGTAGACAATGAATTTCACTTGTTTACAAATCGTTGATTTTTTTCCAGCATGGTTTGTTCCAAGCACATTTTTAATTGAAATGCAAGAATACAAGAAAAATACACCTTTTACATGATATTAAATAATATGAGCTAGATATTAAAGCATGCAACTGATTAAATTCATTCGATATTAATTATTATACAAGATAGTAGAATGCAGGGGTGGCATACCGGTTTACTGTAACCGTTCAATCTGATCCTCTGTTTTGATGAGTCAGACAGATAGCAGTGGTTCCAGTTGTCCTGCACACTCACACCCAGCATTTGTATTCATTACCTGCCACTGGTATTAATTACTCATAGGACACCTGATCAGTAATGTATGACTTGGTGTCTAATACGTCCCACTTTTGGAGACATGAGTATACACAGTATGCTGAAATTATTGTAAGAAAACTCACTGTGCTGTTTTCGAAATAAGGCAATGGAATGTGTATACTGGACACTGAAATATTGGTTGAATTTGAAATTTATTGGGATATTAAAGTAAAGCAGTGGATGGTGAAGGCGAGTTAAAAATGCCTCGGTTATTCTATCGGTCTTTCAAGCGTAAAGCTCAGGTAAGACTTTTTTTGGCAGCAAAATATTGTATAATATTACTACATGAATTATGAAATGTCATTTTTGATAGGCTATAAAAGCCAATAGTGTTAAGAACATTGTATTTATTAGAAGTTGCTAAAATATTGCTTTTCCTATATGAACAAGGGGAAACATGCAATAACTGTCACATTAAACACATTGTGGCCATGATTTATATTATATCTACAGAAGTCCTTTTTGTAATTGCTCCTTGTATCAGATCGGTATTTCTTCTCCCGAAACACTGACCAGAAAACTGTGTCTGTTCATGAGAACTTTCTAGTCAGCAGTCTTCCCGAAATAAGTAGCAAAGTGAAAACCAATACTAAAATAATAGTTTTAAAACATCCTCTAGTTCAAGCTTAGTTTTGGTCTAATTTGATTCAATATATTTTATTTCAAACATGTTAACAACATTCATATACTTTAACATTTGAAGTGTTATGTGTCAGAATAGGTTATAACTATTCTTCCTGTTATTATTGATTGGAAGTTCTACAATCATTTATTATAGTCTTAAGTGATGATGAGTATTGATACATGTGGTGATAATCATCAAAAATATGTACAGTGGTTTTAACATGTTATATAAATGTATAATGTCAAAAGCAATGGATTAATGAAAAGGCTGGCACATTAACATAGAAATGGAAATTCAAATATTAGTTGGGATAGTGGTCATTAATATGACAGCTTGGCACTTCTTAAACTGATGACTATCTACAAAGGAAAGGTTGCTATGAATATATATACCTATGGAAGAGATTAAACATTTTTAATTTTAGCCAGGTGCTAAACATGTTTCTCAAAAATCTAATGGTAAAAAATATAAATTGCATCTAGCAATCTGTCTACATAGATGCAGAATGTAAAATATTGCCAGTGTAGTGAGATGTATCAGTTTGGCTAAAATTATTCAGATATTTGGCTGAAGTAATATTGCAATAAGACTAAATTCTTTTAGAAAAAGTTGGAATTCAGTCGAGCACTCTTTGTATTTCAATATATGTTCAGTCTGTGGCATGGTAAGAGGAATATTAAAAAATAGGAGAGGGTTATGGCAGCCAAACAACTATTTTTGGCAAGCAACTACATGGTAGTGATGGCTTCTGCAATGTTATAGGATTCACCTTACCTGACTGTCTAACCTTTTGTAGACAGAAAAGGTTAGGAGGGAGGGGGAAGGGTCTCTCAGCCACAGCCCATATCACAAAAAGTGCCACATTTCTTACATAGACTTTTAAAGATACTGAAAGAATAGATAAGAACTCAGATTTTGTGTGTTTTAAAGGTTAAATTTCTCAACCCACTTGATGTACACTAACAGAAACACTTGGATAATAAAGATTTAGCAATCAGTGTGTAAATAAAGATGGGTTCTCTTACAGGTGACAGTTCTGATAGTAATCAAACTGGGGGAGTAAACTCTTTATCATGCTTGAATCAATGACCTCTATGTCCAAAGTAAATGCAACAGCACTGTATAAGCCATGGAGTGCATACAATCCAACTAGGCCTAGTGTGAACATGGCCTCATCCTGCAACATGGTGAGAACAGTCTTGATGAGCCTGGTGCAAAAATATTCTTGATCAGAAACACAATCAGACCAATGTAGCTGGGTCTTTTGTGAATTCTCCCTCATTCTAAAGAAATTTATTCGTACTAATCCAACTGGACCTTGTACGAATTAAGTCTCATTCTGCAATTTGATCGTTCTGAATTGGCCTTGTGTAACTGCACCTCTATCCTGCAACTTGTCGACAGTGTGTGTAGGAAGTAGATGATTCAGTTAGGCAGAGTGAAACCTCACTTTACAGTATTTATCACCAGGCAACAAGCCAACAAGATAAAGAAAACAGCCTGGATTAACAAACATTATCAGCCAGACCTGCTCCTGTTGTCCCAGATTTTTTTTTTTTTTTTTAGGGAGTAGTTGCCATAGTTTCACAGTCAGCACTGATTGATAAAGTGAAACAAATTGAAAGCTCATGACAATTTGTCCTTATTCCTTGCTAATTGGAGTGTTACAGATGCAATCTATGCCAAAAACTTTAAGGTTCCTAGCCCTTCAGGCAATCAAGGTCTAAAAGTGGGCTAGTGTTACATAAAATTTAAACTATTTTACTAGCTTGGTGCCTCTTTAGGTTGGCCATTGACTTTGACTAGTGTCGAAAGTGGCAGATCAGATATACATGCTATTTTGCAGTGGAAGAATTCCCCTTGAGCTGGTTGTATTATGGTGGAGTATTTTTGTATTCATGTCTTTTTTCCCCTTTGGCAACTGTTTATGCGTTGTGTTTTTTGGCAACATTTGTAGTAGTGATTAGTTGGGCATCCTTCAGTCCATTAACATACGGCAAATTGATATGCACATGAGGTGGGTGTTTTGATGAACTCAAACACCCTTATATAGAATCACATTTATACAGCACCAAATGTAATTTCTCGATAAAGATTTCAGTGCCTTGATAAACAGTGATTAGTGCCAGTATCTTCAAAATGTAGTAGGCACTTGCATAAGAATACTCGTGCACTTGGATAAGCTCTCAAGCATACACACATCATAAGACATTGATTCAAATACAGCAGGTAAAATATACATATAAACATCACATATTCATGAAAAATTTTCAACTTTTAGTCAATTTTTTTTTCTTTTACTTCCTCTCACACCCGCATGTCACACACACATACTGTTAAATACACACAAATAGATTTCTTTTAAAGACGTCTATGAACAATGTATAATCACATCAATAATAAATTATGCTTCCCACATGCTCTGAAGGAACACGTAACTGTAAGCTGAATAGTTAATTGATCTCTCAATTATTGGAGTATTTTTTCTGTGCAGTGACTTATTTTAAGGACAACTCAGGAGACTATTGATGTTCACTGATGGATTAAAGGTCGAGTGTGATTTGAATTCAGATTTTAGAAATGCCATACTTGTACTAGTGATTGCAAAATGTTATTCACTCTCAGCAAATGCAAAAGAAAATGTGATTTGGTGATATTTTCCCCAGTTTATTGGCTCAAAGCATTGATTTGGTTAACATCTATTAGTTATGCTCGTAGCACTTGAGTAAGCCCAATATACCCACATTTTGGCTGTTTATAGGTGGTTATGATCAGAACTTAAAACCAATCAGTTGTTAACGAACCCTTGTTCTAGCCTTGTTAAAGACAAGTGTCTTAAGAAGTGGGAAATATTACTCCACCCGTGTTTCGCCTCCGCAGTACACAGTACAATAACAGCACAATAGCATATCCAGGGCCCTTAGTCTTGTAATTTAATGAAGTTGAAAAATAAAACACAAACAGTAATTTTCTTACTGCCACCTCTGAAAGCCAAACCTATTTACGGCAATGCATTGCCTGATCATTTCAGATGCCTCACTCAATCCGGTATTTCACTTAATGTTTTTTGTTACTTGTGAAAATCATGCAATTTCTGACTTGAAGCCAACTCACTTTTCAGAACATTTAAATCAGCATTTATATGTATTATCAAGAAACCATTATTTTAAAGAATTTTTATAGCTCATTTCTTATTTAAGAAGTAATTACCCTATGGGAAAGCATAATGACTTTAGGGACAGAACCTTTTTCTGGGTTAACACAGTTCCTTCATCACTATCTGCAATTTCCAGTCATTTTTAGAGAAAATTTAATTTGCAGAAAGAGCAGAGACATGAGCTAACTTACTAGTAGTAAGAAGAGCTGGTCTGTCAAGGACGAGGATGTTGTTTTAAGATTGTAGATAGTTCCTTATTTCACTACAATGTTCAAGATGCGGAGAAATGTCTCCTTGGCTTTGGTGATGTATTTTCTTTAATCAGAGATGAGGAAGAATGTTTCATTGTTATATTTATAGTTTTTTTTTTGTCAGAAGTCAGTTTTGTTCTCTGTTTCCAGTTGTATGTTTATGTGACAGTCCGTTTTAGGCAGTTTTATTAGTCTTTGGCTCTTTTTTACCTGATGTTAAACATACATAAAATGAAAAATTAGAGCACAGCCTAATGGGTGTGGCTTTGTTTGAAAGTGGGGGAAAAAGCTGCTTTCACTCAGGAAAATGTGCTTTGATAATTGCTTGCCTTGTGGTAGTTTTGAGAATCAAGTAACGTATTACGTGCAGCTTCAGAGAACTAATTGTGGTTATAGGCTTTCTTAACCATTGAGGTATTATGCAGGTCTGGACGTGAAAATTGCTAATAATATATTGAAGCCAAATATTAGCTATCGTAAGACCACACATTTGTGTGTTAAGCTTACTGTTATTCGTTTAAATGCTGCCTCTGTTTGAAGCATTATATAATCTATTTGGTATATATATATCTAGCAGCTTTACTGTTTTACACATATAATATATACAATTAAAAAACAAAAGGTTTATTATTTTTCAAAAAATGTGTGATCAGATATCTTTAACAAGGTTTCCATTAGGGTTTTAACTTGGGTAGGGCTGATTTTTTATGCACTGAGTTACAGTGTGTTGGAAAATAGGGCTCACTTTTTCCCAGCAGGGATGCCCAAATTATGCCCAAGTGGAAACCATGGGTAAAGATGAAAAAGCTAGATTGATTTTGACATTGGTATCCTAAATTTCAGGTGATCTGTGTTTTTATACAGTTCTTAGTGTAAGATAGAAAATTGCATGCTTTATTAAGTAAAACATATTTTAAGTTGTGGCCATCGGCACAGTCTACAGTATATAGATGAAAATGCCATAAATCTCATTAATGAGTACTTCACCCTTTGTTTTACAGATAGATATTGAAATGTGAAAGTGTAAAATTTTTAAAATAATCATTTGTAACACATACATAATTCTATATTTATTTCTATTCAAGCTGGAGAAGTTCAATCCTTATCGCAATAAGGAGAAGAAAGAGAAATCCAAGGGTGCCACATACAAACCTCCAAATGTTGGAGAACTAGGGGCTGACAATGGCGACTTGCTGTACATGCAGCAAATGATCAACAGTCTCACCGACGATGAGGTCAATGAAAAGTTTGAGCAGATGCTGGTAAGGATCAGTTCTCAGATAAAGTCCTTCATAGGGACCATTCCCATAACCCTGTAGTACCAGCTGGATTGTTCTAACTCCTCTGGGTTTTCTCGCAAAATTATATTCATTTTAAGCAGCTTAAATGTCTACCACGCCCCCTTGTTACTAAAAGTACTTGGATAAAGTTGTGAAATTCTGTGGTCCAGGATGTTGTTCATGAATGTTGCTATCCCTGGAAGGGCGTGCCAGACAATTAAGCTCATTGCATTGTCTGCGCCTTAGTGAGAATCACCAATGAGATAGATCGATCCTGCTAGTACGGTAAGCTTATGGGAGGACAGTCTCAGTCTGTATCTTAAGTAGGCTTCAGAAAAATGTAAGCCTGAATTCAAGTCAAGATTAAGGCTTCGTTCACATAGAAAGTCTATTTTCTAAAAATCTATCTTCTATTCGCAGTATGTTATGATCACGGTCTGTGCCCTGAATATCCCGCAGCATAATTACTGACAGCGCGAGCCAGTTACTTATAGTAACTTATAGTAACTGGCTCGCGCTGCCAGTAATTATGCCACGGGATATTCAGGGCACAGACCGTGATCATAACATACTGCGAATAGAAGATAGATTTTTTAGAAAATAGACTTTCCATGTGAACGAAGCCTAAGTCGGAAGATAATGGGAAAATAATTTAAAACAATTGTATGTGCATGTGTGTGAGCGCACAAGTGTGAGTAGTGAGAGAGAGTGGGCAACTCTGGTGAACTTGCCATAATTTACTGTTTCCCAAAATGTCTTGATGAAGGGAGGAGAATATTTTTACTTCCTTCATCTGTGAACTATATGAGATGCCCCACCTATCCTCCTACCCAACTCCGCAGTTGTCATGGTCTCTGTGGGTCGTGAAAAGTGTTCCTTGATTTCTTGAAGGGACTTGTATTCTCAAAAAGGTTTCCTTTTCCCCTGCATCACATTTTATCAAATCTGCCCCAATGTCTTATCACATGAAGCCATTCTAGTCCCTCTGTTGTCCGTCTCAACACCATTGGGGAGATAGTTTGAACCATAATCAAATATGGTCTACTTTTAAAGACATGCTACAAAATAAGCTGCCTCAGTCAGACTATAAATTGGCTGTTTATTTAATAGAAAACATCCACCCCAGATAGTGTACACAAACAGTTAATATAAGTGACAGTCTGGTATCAGTAAATAACAACCCCTATCCACCTGTCACTTCCATTAGCGTCAACATTTTCACAGGTATGCACTTGTCAGACAAAAATCTAGGATTCATTCACACAAGACCTAGTTCAGGGTCTTCGTAAGAGGTGGTTTGATATAATGTTGGGAATCAGTTTCTGTCTCCTATTGTGATTTGACCACAGAGTGTCATTGTGTAATCAACTTTTTTTATCCGTGATAATGTATTGCAATCAACACTGTCATCAGTGTGTGAACACATTACCTCAGCTAACAACTAGATGATTCCAGCCACTATCTAACTTGTATCTTATGTGAATGGCCCATAATGGACAATGTCCACTCTGACATTTGGAACTCGTGTTGAAAACTAACCGGCTGGTGACCCTTACGTCAGGCTGAAGTCCTTGCATTATCAATCACCTGTGGCTAAACGGCATTTAACTAGAAGAAGGTATCCAAGAAGTACGTGGTGATTTTGGATGAACATAGTTTGTCAAGTTTTTTGATTTATGTGTTTTACATAGGTGTGTAGGTCTCCATGCCCAGAACATTAACTCTCTCCCCACAACAATGTTTTGACATTCAAACACCCACATGCAATCACATGCACACACATACACATGGGCACACACATACACTCTCTCTCTCTCTCTCTCTCTCTCACACACACACACACACACACACACACACACACACACACACACACACACACACACACACACACACACACGCTAAGTACCTCTGAATTCCTTTTTTTTTTTTTAGCAGTGATTTGCCAAGTGCCTTCTGTAGCACTTAGCTACTAGTGCTCACTTGGCCTAATATTTATCTTCCTGGTCAAAATACCAGTTTCTTGTGACTTAGCTCATACCAGTAAAAAGTCTGGTAGACTGTCACTAGGATATATGTGAGAGACCTGAGGATCTGAATAGAGAGGAAAACACTTGAGAAGCCCATAAATAGCTATAGAATAATGTGGGTTGATGGCAGGACGACTTTCAGCTATAACTATTTTCATGACCTGCTCTTTATTGCTGTGCTTTTGAAATAGGAAAATTCATTAACTTTGTACATATTCATGAAGAGATATATGCATGGCTAAAAAAAAACAATTGTTTTTTTTTATTATTATTATATAAAAATATAAATTAAGGAGAAAAAAATATTGGAGCCAAGAGTGTTATAATATTCAATTGTCCAAATTCCCCATGTTTCCCCAAATAGGTAGAATGTGTATACAATCATAAATAAGAAAAGCTCAATTACCTTGTTTACCATTCTCAAAGGAATACTTAACAGACGCATGGAAAAGGAGGGGCATGTTAAGTGTTTAGATGATACAACAGTTGACTGCAAACCAAAAGCACACACCTTTACCTGTATGACATCACTGTTTGTGTGGTCTACACAAGTGAATGCACTAGCTTTAAGCTGAAGAGATGACTTTACATACATGTTTAACCAAACCAACTTTGACCAGACTTACTACTGCAATAACCAGTTTGGAACTTTGAGACTTTTCCGACTTTTGTCGGAATTCCGACTTTATCAGGGTCATTTGGGTCATTCTTGTGAATCGTATACCCTTGACCCCTGGCAAATTTGTCTACTTTTTCAGTGAGGACTTGTCTCATCCTTGTATTTTATGATTAGCTCGTAGTATATATTGTATTACCCCTATTTTCATTGGATAAGACCTGCATATTTTTTCAGTAGTTTGAAGACATAAAAATAACAAAACTGGTGCATTGTAGAGCAAATTAATGTCCTAGCATAGTTAGCAAAATGATCAGCAACCATTTTTCAGCCCACTTCGGTCGTGAACTTATTTTTTTCATTACTATGATGCATGCTTATGAAACTTCAAAGTACACCTAACCAACAGCTACAGGGGTGTAGTTTAATATTTAGGTCAAGGATGCCAAGGTTACAAAAGGCAATTTGTCATGATATTCCATCAGCGTCTTTTCCTGTCAATGACACACCTGTTTTAGAAATAACAAACTGAAACTGTTTGATCATATTTAATTGTATATAGGCCTGCGTATAATGACTACGATGCATATTTAATGACCAAATAATATTTTGTCTTAATCAGAAGGTTGTGTCGCTTAAACATTTTATGACCAATATTTTTGTCCACTGTCCATGCTCATGCCTGAGGAAAAGACCAGCAGCTGTAAACTGCCTCGACACTAGTGTAACACACAGTATTACACTGTAAGAATGGTACATGGTTGATTCATACTTGTTTCTTTGATGGTGATAATGTGATCTTGCCCCTAGCTTACATACTCCTCTGTAATTTATCATGTTTACCATAGTTAAGCCTCGGTCTTCCTGCACCCATTTATATGCTCTCCTGGATTTATGTGTTTCTGTAGAACTATTCTATTTCTGGACAGAAGACTCTTCTTATGGGTCTCGGCAAATGAAAATATGTGTTCTAATTTGCCATAAAAATATGGTGGCGTAGAGAAATATTGACTGAAAAGATATTGGAAATGCTTTTGTCAAGCAAGCAAATTTATGATAAACTCCAAGACTGCTTGGTATAAAATATTTTTAAAAGCTGTACTTTATATTTTGCGTTATCTTTTTATGTAAAGTATTGAGTCGATAACCATGGTCTATTTCACCCAAATACCATAATGTATTTTATCAGGATGCGTCATCTTTTGACCTGAGAACACCTTGTGGCATCTCAGCTTTGTCATTTAAAACTGGGATACAGCTGACTTATAAGTGACATATTAATAATAATGCGTGCTGTCAATTGCAAAACCTTGAAAATCGCCTCTGTAAGCATGAATAAATCACAAGGACATATTATCACAGCGATGTTTGTGTTAGTACTGTTAATACAGCTTGTGCAGATGACATACATTATAACAGTATGTGTTATCAACCAAAGATTTTCATGTCTGTTGGATTAAGTATATGCACCATATTTTTCGAATTGACAAAAGATTTAGAATTCAAAATTATATCTTCATGTAAAATTTATTATTTTTAACAATGTTAGGACTAATTCCCCCTTAACTACATTACTCATAATTATCCAATGGAACAAAAGCACTATTCCTGTCATTATTACCCATTTCAATAATTCAATAAACAATAAATCTATACTTGTTTATATGCAATATATTCAATGCTATCTTGTCTAATGGTGTCATCACAGGCCTTACAGACACATTTATACAGGTACAGCACCTGTATAAATGTTGGTTAAGCGGCAGCCAGATGTCACATTTGTCCACTATGGTGAAAGATAACAGAGTACTAGGTATGCTGGCACGCCATATTTATGGTAATTACTCAAAGATTTCACCCTCCCCCCCCCCCCCCCCCCCCCCAAAAAAAAAAAAATAATAATAATAATAAAATCAAAAATTTAAAATTCCTTTTTTAAAAAACATGAACCTAACATGCTCCTAAGTCATCTTTTTCAGATATTACCTATTAGGACTTTTGATTGTGTATATATGATTAATCAGTTTTGTTTAGATTTACTGAATTGGATATGCTTTCAGTTGAAGAATCTTTACCTAATATTTTTTTATTATCTAAATGTCATGCAAAGCTAATTATCTTTCCCAATTCAGAGCTTAAAAGGGATGCAAATAAGTACTAGGTGTTGGTATTTTCTTCATAAATGTCAAGAAGACATTGTAGTCAAAACCAATCATGATTAAAAAAAGTTATTAGAAGTGGAACAGCACATGCAGTCTTAGTCTGTAGATGGAAACATATTTTCTCTGCAGATCTTTAGAAAATTTTGAAAACAACAGAGTGCATAAGTACTGATCTTTCTTACCCCATTGATTTGTATTGCCACACTATTATATTAATATCTGTAGTGTGAAGGAACTTTTGTGTCTCTGCAAACAGGTGCATCTTGTTAATGTTTGACCTGTTTATGGACAGGCGTTAAGTGTGTCATTACCTTGTTCAGCCATTAGGCCAGCAGCTGCTCGCAGATCTAGAGTTGCTATCTGCCATTATTATTATTATTATCTGTGGACAGGAATGTCTGTAGGTGGGCTATTATGTATAGCACTGAGACCACTGAGGGGACTAAGAGCTTAGGGCAAAATGCTTGGTCTGGCCAACTTGACGCTGTTTGACTCTCTAGTGTGTGTGTGTATATGCGTGTGCATGTGTGTGTGTGGGTTTTCATTCCCCTTATAATGTAGTAGTTTGAATGTGTTCCAGACCTGTGTCTGTTCCATTTTTTCATACAGCATAGGAGGATTAAATGATCCTTTATCAGCTACATTCTGTCATATGGTGGACTTACAGATGTGGTAAAATTTGATGAATATGTTGTCTCATATGGAAAACACTGACATGAAGGCCTGCACATTAGTGTTAACTGAATTTTACTGACAACATATATAGCAAACCACTGATATTTAGAACTAAGGAAATTTTAAAGAAAAAAATCCTTAAAATGAGAATGATAAATGATAATAGAAATTGGTAAAGTTCAGAATGCTGTTAGTATGTGGATAGATATCACAATTAAAAATCAATCAATTAAATTTAAATCTTAAAATCACTTTTGCCAAAATCTTACCAAATTCTCAATAGTTTCTTCTGTATATGCTTTTTCCCCAAGATGAGCTTCATGGTTCTCAGAATATGGATACATAGTTTTTATACTTGAAATGAAAATCTTAAAACATAAAAAAAATTGTCATTATTGAGAAGTGCTTCGGATATAGATTATATGGGGGATCAGAAAATGACTTAATGTTCCACTTATTTACGTATTTAATCTGTGTTTGTTTATTAAAGGATGACATGAACTTGACAGAGGAGAAGAAAGCTCCACTAAGACAAAAGAAAACAGATGAAAAAAGAAAACTCTTGGTGATGCAGTCAAAGGGGACTGTTCAGGTAATTTTCTATTAGGGATATTTTTAAATATCATTTATCAGATGTGGATAATGATTGTTTTGGCCTTTGATTTAAGCATATAGATCAGTATTGTGATGTTATTAATCACTAGGTGTTAATAGAACTGATGGGGGCTCCCCTCAGCCCAACTTGCTCTTTTCATACTTAGTGCTAGCTGAGTATATTGATAGGAAGGACAGTTGTCACTTCTGAACTCTTGGCTGTCTGTTAAACATTGCAAGACTGGTTTAAGATTTCAGTAGATGTTCCTTTTTGTTATGTTTACCTAAACTGAAATTCTGCATGAAATCAAGAATAACAAACACTTTCTGAATACTCTAAAGAAAGCTGTTGTAAGACTATACCATAATGGTTTACTTTTTGAAATGGCTTCTGGTTTTCCAGCCAAAGGGCGGCAAGATCGACAGTCCCCAGGACTTTGTGAGGGAACTGAATGAGCCTAGTCTGAGAGGAGACAAGAGATTAAGGTTACTGGAGTCTCTCAGAGTGTCCTTAACCAGTAACCCTGTCAGGTAAAACATTTATCAGATCATGAGGAGGTGTATTTATACATTCACGTTAAGTGACTTTTTTTGCCTGCAGAGTTGAAACTCGTCTTTTATTGGTTGATTAATTAGAGAGTGTTATGAATTATTTAACTCTGTAAATATATTTTGCTATTGTTCAACAAGATTTAGTTGATTACACTCATTGATCATTTTGAAATGCCATAAATTTAAAGTAATACTGCAGTCTGTTATGTCATTGACTCATGCTAGATTTTTACTGTAAGGGGGTGAAGCAATTTTGTGTTAATTTGATGGGTTATAAATGCTGGTATCTTGTCTTTCAGTTGGGTGATGGAGTTTGGACCAAGTGGTCTCAATGCCATACTGAAAAACCTAATATACTGTTGTGATAAGTAAGTACTCCCTCTTCTGGTTGTGATATTCCCTATATTGGTTGTGATAAGTAAGTATTCCCTATACTGGTTGTGATAAGTAAGTATTCCCTATATTGGTTGTGATAAGTAAGTATTCCCTATACTGGTTGTGATATTCCCTATATTGGTTGTGATAAGTAAGTATTCCCTATACTGGTTGTGATATTCCCTATATTGGTTGTGATAAGTAAGTATTTCCTATACTGGTTGTGATAAGTAAGTATTCCCTATATTGGTTGTGATGAGTAAGTATTTCCTATACTGGTGGTGATAAGTATTTCCTATACTGTACAACTTAGGCCACACTTTTTTATTTTTATGGATGACATCCTCTGGGGACCCCAAAATCGGTGCGAGCAGGCGANTAAGCATATAGATCAGTATTGTGATGTTATTAATCACTAGGTTTTAATAGAACTGATGGAGGCTCCCCTCAGCCCAACTTGCTCTTTTCATACTTAGTGCTAGCTGAGTATATTGATAGGAAGGACAGTTGTCACTTTTGAAACTCTTGGCTGTCTGTTAAACATTGCAAGACTGGTTTAAGATTTCAGTAGATGTTCCTTTTTGTTATGTTTACCTAAACTGAAATTCTGCATGAAATCAAGAATAACAAACACTTTCTGAATACTCTAAAGAAAGCTTTTGTAAGACTATACCATAATGGTTTACTATTTGAAATGGCTTCTGGTTTTCCAGCCAAAGGGCGGCAAGATCGACAGTCCCCAGGACTTTGTGAGGGAACTGAATGAGCCTAGTCTGAGAGGAGACAAGAGATTAAGGTTACTGGAGTCTCTCAGAGTGTCCTTAACCAGTAACCCTGTCAGGTAAAACATTTATCAGATCATGAGGAGGTGTATTTATACATTCACGCTAAGTGACTTTTTTGCCTGCAGCATTGAAACTCGTCTTTTATTGGTTGATTAATTAGAGAGTGTTATGAATTATTTAACTCTGTAAATATATTTTGCTATTGTTCAACAAGATTTAGTTGATTACACTCATTGATCATTTTGTAATGCCATAAATCTAAAGTACTACTGCAGTCTGTTATGTCATTGACTCATGCTAGATTTTTACTGTAAGGGGGTGAAGCAATTTTGTGTTAATTTGATGAGTTATTAAATGCTGATATCTTGTCTTTCTAGTTGGGTGATGGAGTTTGGACCAAGTGGTCTCAATGCCATACTGAAAAACCTTATATACTGTTGTGATAAGTAAGTACTCCCTATTCTGGTTGTGATAGTCCCTATATTGGTTGTGATAAGTAAGTATTCCCTATACTGGTTGTGATATTCCCTATATTGGTTGTGATAAGTAAGTATTTCCTATACTGGTTGTGATAAGTAAGTATTCCCTATATTGGTTGTGATGAGTAAGTATTTCCTATACTGGTTGTGATAAGTATTTCCTATACTGGTTGTGATAAGTAAGTATTTCCTATACTGGTTGTGATGAGTAAGTATTTCCTATACTGGTTGTGATGAGTAAGTATTTCCTATACTGGTTGTGATGAGTAAGTATTTCCTATACTGGTTGTGATGAGTAAGTATTTCCTATACTGGTTGTGATAAGTAAGTATTTCCTATACTGGTTGTGATAAGTAAGTATTTCCTATACTGGTTGTGATAAGTATTCCCTATACTGGTTGTGATAAGTAAGTATTTCCTATACTGTACAACTTAGTAAACTTAAAGAATTAAAAGTATTTGTGAATTTCATCCTATGGTAACATCAGTGATTCAGACTATATGTCATAATAATTCTTTCCTTTCTCCTATCTTAAATTATTCACATGCATCATTCAAAAGTTTTGAATTTGTTTACTGATTATAACTTACCACATGTTCTCTTATTTTTCCAGTCGAAATGAAAGGAGGAGTACACATGAGTGTGTTCGGTGCTTGAAGGCTTTTATGAACAATAAGGTAGCAGGCCCTTTCATTATTGTCTTATAAGTAAAATTTCCCAGATTTCATTTCAAAACTGTTATTAGGACTTTGCATACTTTTTCAAACTTTAGGTAAAGAAGCATATATTATTCTATGCTACTTACACGATGCTGATAAATCATCTTGCATTGATTCTTCCAGTTTGGTTTGAAAAACATTCTACATCACGATGAAGCGCTTACCATTTTATCTCGAACTGTGGACCCAGCCGACCAGGCCACCATGTTGGAAGCAGTACGTCTGCTGGCTGCCGTCTGCTTGGTGCCCCCTGATGGGTAAGAGAACTTCTTAGGATTTGGAGATATTTTCCTTGCTCAAGTGAAATAGTTTCACCTTTCAAACTTAAAATATGGTGATTTTGGTTTTAGATCAAGTGGGACTTTCTAATCTTCCAAGCAGTTTCTAAATATGCATGAGTCCCATGTGTGAATGGTGAAGAATTTTTGACTCACAGAGTCATATTTAACAATTAAAAATAAAAGATAAATATTGCAATAATTTTCACTTCACTAGTATTGGAAGTGTTATCAGATTTCATCCCTCCTTTTTTACATCCTGTACATTTACATTCATCACTTTTGTAAAGCTTTTGAAAATATCTGATGCATACATCTTTACATAGTTTGTGTCTGTTCTTCTATTCCAGTCATGAGAAAGTTCTAGAAGCCATTACTATGTGTGGAGAGATAAGAAACCAAGACAGATTTACTCCCATCATAGATGGTCTAGGAATAGAAAAGAATATACCAATGAAGGTAGAATATTATAAAAGACAAAGCCAGGCCCAGTTTAGACATTTTTCTCAGCATGTCCATTTGATTTTCTTATCTTTTTTGTCTTCCTTTTAAGAGGCCAATAAACAGTGATTATCGTTAAGATTTCCTTTGATTTAAAAAAAATATTTTTGGGAAATTTTTTGAAAGTTTAATTCATCTGATTAATATGGAACTTTTTAACTTGCATCAAAGAAAGCCCACTGGATAATCCAATTATAACAATACTGTGTCTTCTCTTAGTATGTATATCTTGTCATGTTAGGTTGCCTGTATGCAGTTAGTGAATGCCATAGTTACCACGCCGGATGACCTGGACTTCCGAATACACTTGAGAAATGAATTTATGAGGACGGGACTTGTGGATCTATTAGAGGTATGATAAAGAGCTAGCCCAAAGCCCTACTTTTGGTTTCTTTATCTGTTTAGACTAAATGAACTTGAAAAAAAATTAATTATAAACACATTTTCAACTATATTTTCTGTAATTATTCCATTGTTGTTAATGTTCAAACATTTTGCATTTGTACATTTTATAATATATATTTTCATGATAATTGTTGATTTGAATTACAAAGATCCCATGATCTCAATATTTTGTCTTCATAAACTTAATTTCTAAAATCAAGAAATTTGAAAGAGAAAACTTAAATGAACATATTTTCATATTACAGGGTTTAGAAAATGATGATAGTGAAGAGGTGAAAGTTCAAGTTGGTGTCTTCTCAGAACATAAAGATGAAGATTATGATGACTTCTTCCATCGCTATGACAACATTAGGGCAGAGTTAGAATATCCTTCCAAAGAAAGATATTCCTTAACAAGGACTTGTTTTTCACTAAATGATAATGTGCAAGGACACACACACACCCAAACACAACTTTCTCACTATTTCAAGTTGAAATTAAAGCCTTAAAACCCTTCATGTCAAAAAGAGACAACACTTAAACTTCTGTTTTATTTATTTATTTATTTAATATTTTTTTAATCTATAGTATTTTGAAAGGTGAATTGAAATATTTTTTTATACATTTTATAATAATATATTTATTTATTGTATTTTATTCGCCTTAACTCTTGCTCACTGACCCTGGAGAGTGCTTTCAACTAATAATCAGCAATGTAGCCGGGACATCAACAGAACCCTATTTCCTGTCTATCTTGCAGCATTTGTTATTTATTAGAGATGATTATGTAGTAAGGTGAGTGGGGAATCGATTGTTTAAGTTTCTTAGTCAAATGGTGGTCTTGTATCTAAAATTTAGAGGAATTAAGTGCAGTTGAATCCTGTTTCTTAAATTGGATTTATTATGGAGATAAACCATATAGATTTTACTTTTTCAATGTTGAGTATGTTTAATATGTCTTGCATAAATGACAGCGACAGCACTCATTTAATAAGCTTTGTTATTGCACATTTTAGCACTGCTAGCTTAGAGGTCTCCTGTAAGTGAAATCTTGCAAGCAACATGAGAAAAAAAATTTTTTCATATCTCAAGTTTTGTTTTATTTGTTGGTCAGCACAGTTTGACCATTTTCATACTGGAAAGATTGGTCACTTTGTAGGCCCCAGTACTATAAACTGATAGAAGAATGTGTTACCCAAATAGTTCTGCACAAAAGTGGAATGGATCCCGACTTTAGGCAGACCAAAAGATTTGAAATAGATGTAGAACCACTCATAGGTAGGTTAATTTTGTTTTGTTTTTTTCTGCTTTTTTATATAATATGATATTTATACAAAATATTTTGCTTACTGGCTGCTGCTGTAATATCTGATACAGACCCCTGGAATACTGACTTCACCAGTGACCTGTTATGGTAAAATCATGAACATTTAAAATGCATGAATCCGATACGACATTATTAAGCGACAAACTTTTCAAAACTATTCAGAGGCCCATTTTCAAGTTTGAAAAAATGAAAAAAAAAAATGTCATAAGAGAATCGTCTTCCAACAAAATTTTCAAGACTGACTAAATTTTCAAGTTTTTACCATTAACATAAGATACCAATTCAGTGGATAGGTGGGACCATGGAAGAGCATGTGGGCTGGAAATGTAATGAGCCATTGGCTATAATCTGGTCCCTGTTTCACAAAAAAACTTAAGTCAGGTTCTCTGGCTAAGAACTTAATTACCAAGGTTACATGGTCACATGGGCACATCTCATCCTATCAGGTGCAGTGTTACAGCACTCTCATGGAGATCCTAGTCAGCTAAGCCAGGGAACTGACTTAAGTTTTTTTGTGAAACTGGGACCTGATATCTGTTTACAGCCAAAACAAAGGCTACTGGTGTCTACCTACGTGTAGGTACAAATATGACCCAAAGTACCTGATGATTGACTGCTTTTAGTAAAAAGAGCAAAAACTTGGTCCATTAAAAATATGACTCGTGTTATACTAAGTTTTGGAGTAGAATGAAGTGAAAAAACGTCATAAATGTGATCTCTGCTTAGTCACATGATCTTAACATGCTTAGGGTCCTACTCTCATTAGGTCTCTAACCATGAGGACTGATAATGTAATAGGAACCCCCCCCCCCCTTCCCCGTCCCTATTTACATCCCACATATACTTCCTTGGTAGTGGGGTCAGATGGTCAAAGTGTGCTTGGAAAGTCAGTATTTTGGGGAGTCAGGATCAGATGTAACATCATTGCCCTCATGGACAGCACAGGTGCATCCAAAGACCGCTTGTTACCTTTTCTATGAGAAACATCTTGTTTGTTTGTTTGCTTTTGCTGTTTTTGTTCCATGGTTAATCTTTAGCTTAACTTAGCTTTTCACTAACAACATGTCATATTTGTTCAATATAGTAGCCATTTTGTATCACAAAAATGTTCGTCTTTCTTGAATATTTGTGCATATTTACAGTGCTGTAGCTGGTTTTACTGTTTTGTTTTTTGTTAACCTATCTCACGTGTGCTTTCTGCTTTTGTTAAATTTCATCAGGTGGTTTGTCACGTGATACACTCGATGGTAATCTTGCATTCTTAGCACTCTTTAGTCTTTCTTTTCTTTGGAATGTTTCTTGCATGCTAAAGTACATTTCGCATTCTGTGTAAATATTTGAGAAGAAACCAATAAGTGTTTTTCAGCAGTATCTTACTGTTATATAAGGGAAATCGAGGCACCTTTCATACTCATTTACATTGAGAACTGCACTGTTTTCCTATTGCATGTCTCTTAGGAAAAGTTGAAACTTTTTAGAAACTCAGCACAATAAGATCAGATGATAAAATGTCTTTTGTTGAAAACCTTTTTTTTTTTGCATGAAATGTGTTAATTATTTAGCGCAGGAATTAAAATCTTGATTTAAGGCATGATGATTATAATATGTTTGCTCCTGTCCATTTCATCAGGTGGCATAGCACAAGATGTTGTAGATGGTAATTTGGTTATTTTGCACGAATCTCTAACAAAAGCACAGCCCATATTTTTCTTTGTACATCTCAATATTATTTCTTATGTTCTCCCTGTATCATTTTGCATGCCTTCATCTTGAGGCCAGCATGATTCCTGTGTACTCTAACTTGTCAAATCTGAATTTTCTGCGTCAAACTATGTTCGAATTAGAGTCAGTAAAAGTGATATCTTAAGGTACTGAATAATGCTTATCAAAGCTATTTAGTATAATACATAAATAAAATAGTGATAAGCATGAAGTACTGTTGCCTCTTGTAGCCCTTTTATATTCTAATTTGCCCAGGTAATTATACATTCTTACCTTTGTTAATGAAAAGATTTTGCAGTTTATCATTATTTTAAGAGAAAGTAAGCTTTTTCTTAGCTATCAATTTCATTTATATGTTGACTAACATAGAGGGAGTCTTTTCTGTTATGTTGCCTGTCCTGTGTGTTAGAAAATTTAACGTGTCAGATTTGTTCTAATTACAAAATTCATACAAGACTATACAATGCACCTTCACTGTTAACTGATTGCTACAGGTAAAACTTTCAACTTTAATGATAAGATTGAAAAAAGAAATCGATCAACTTCTAAATTCTTACATGGCTTATGTGCATAAATAAAAAAATGCGCAAAAAAGATGAATTTGGTAGTGTAAAAAGGTGCTTTCCTTGCCTGTGCCTGTAAGTTGTACTATACGAGTAAAGAATATACCATACTCCATGCAATTCAGATTTTAAGGTGAAATGAAAAGATCTGGACGATGCCTTGCAATATTCTAATTGCGCTACAGCAATATGTGCTCTTGCCTTTTCATAAACCTTGCTCTATTTCTGTAAAAATAATTCTATATCTCCATTGTCCACGATATATATAGGTCAGTTAACTGAGAGATCCAAATTTGAAGACAGCCTTGGTGGGAAGGAGTTATCTGGTAAATTGGAGGAGGCTCTAACTGCCAAACAGGAATCCGAGGCAAAAGTGTCAGCTCTAGAAGAAAAGATTAAGAAATATGAACAGGAACTTGCAGATTTGAAAGAAAAGGTGAGCAGGATTGATAGTATTATATTTGAATTGATGAAATTCTATCTTTTGATTTTGCCTTTTTTTAGTGTTTTAATTTTAAGAATAGATAATAAAGCAAAGTGTTGGTTACTTTGTTATAGAGAATGGTAAATATTTATATGGATTTAGAATACCCAGGACAGTGGATAGTGCAGTAATATACAACAAACAAAAAGGCACTAGATTTAATAAACCAAAACCTGGTGTGATAGGCTGTACTTGTCAATTCATTTTAATGCAAGAATATGGAAATGTTGATTGAATTTTAATTTGCCTTTAATCTTATTCCAATCAATTCTAGATATCCCAAGGAGTGAGTGCTGTTGTCAGTGGTGCCATAGCTAAGCAAGCGGGGGTGGGAGGAGGTCCCCCTCCCCCTCCACCCCCTCCACCCCCACCAGGTGGATTCATTCCACCCCCGCCCCCACCCCCTCCAGGTGCAGGCATTCCACCTCCTCCCCCACCTCCACCTCCTCCAGGTGGTGGACCTCCACCTCCGCCCCCGCCTCCACCGCCACCTGGTGGGGGACCACCCCCACCCCCTCCACCCCCAGGAATGGGGCCACCCCCACCCCCTCCTTTAGGTGCTCTGAGACCTCCTGGTTTCACTGGCTCCCCCCTTGCTCCCTCCCCTCCACAGAATGTACTGCCATTTGGCATGAAGGCCAAGAAGGGTTATTCAGTAGACGCGCCACTTAAGAGAGCTAATTGGAATAAGGTGAGATTTTCTCCCTTGACAAAATACACACATTTCTTTCTCTGCTTCTATGATTTTTTACAAGGCCCAAAAGATATATTATAAATATTTTGGACATTTTTTAATATTTATAACTGGAGGCTAGTTGTTTAATTCAGAAAGATATGTTTATATTTTTTTTATTTTTTCAGATTAAGCCAAATCAGCTGGACAAAGAATCTTTCTGGGTTAAAATAAACGAGGAAGAGTTAGAAGATGAAGACTTATTTAAAACTCTCAAGGCAAAGTTTTCCACCAAACCAGCAGGTAAAAAAATGAAGAGTCTACAGAGTTTGGTGCACATAAGTATTACTGTTGTCTGTAGAAATGTGAAAAGAATTATAAAAGGTTGAAAGGATAGGAAATAATGTTGCATCAACGTAATAACCGTCAGTTATACGAAGTGAACATTGCTGCATCATTGGAAGCATGGCCTCTGATTTTTAAAGGAAATGTAGACTTATGTACCTTTATATGTCATAGTGAAAAAGGAACCCACTGGGGAAGCTGCTGAGCAGAAGAAGAAGGGGAAAGAACTGAAGGTGCTGGATGGCAAGGCAGGGCAAAATCTATGTAAGGACAGTTACTTGTTTTATATATATAACAGTTTTATATTTGTGTTTTAACTCTTTCAAAGAGTCGTTATTGTACCACCA